GGCAAATGTCTGTGGCGGAGCAAGACTCGCTTTAGCTACTGTCACTCCACTCTGGCACCATGCCAACTCCATGCACAGAGTGGTACTGGTGTGGGGACAGTGTCCTTTGCACGCTGTGAGAGTAGAGGAACTCGGGGGGCTGAAGGCCACCGGGGGACTGGAGGCCAGTCTGCGGCCCACACTGCCTGACCACAGGCTGGTGGGCCACGGAGGTCTGGTGCTGGAACATGCCCTCTCCAAGCTGTGGGGAGCTGTGGTTGGCCACGCCAGCCAGTCGGGGGACCAGGGGCCCCGAGGTGAAGTGAGCGGAGAAGTGCTGGTAGGGCAGCCTGTCCATGGGCTGCACCGTGGTGACGGTGCAGCTGCTATATGAAGGCATGCCAGGCCACGTGTTGCAGCTGATGTCCTCCAGGCTGGGCACTGGCTCACCGGGCGGCGCCGAGCTGGCGTACATGCAGGCCTGCCGCTGGGCCGACTCGGTCCTGTAGGAGGTGCCCAGGCCCTGTTGCTGGGGGTAGCTGGAGCGGTAAAAGGGATCCTCGTCACTGGGTGACGTCTCCATGTAGGGCTTCTTATAGGGATGATCTGTGGTGGAACATTCTTCATCTGCTAAGACAGGAAGAGAGAGACCAGTGAGGTCAGGTTCAGCTGCCAGACAGCTTGAGGCAAGGAAGGCCATTTGGCCAAAGAACTGGAAAATTGAGTCTGGTAAAACAGCTCCAACCTCCAGTCAGATAAAAAGCGGTGGACTATAATGGTTAAGGTCCTGGGCTATGGAGTTCTAGGCAAACAATTTGACCTTTCTGAGCTCAAACTCTTCGTGTGTAAAATGGAAAGGATAGTAACCGTCCAGGGCCTAGGTGCATGACAACTTTCAATGAATATTAATTATAATTATCTTCCCTCCTCCTCAGAATGTAAATTCCATGAAGGCAGGATATTGTCTGTCTTCCGGTTCCAGTTGCTGCTGAGTTGACTCTGACTCATGGAGGCCCCATGTGTGTCAGAGGAGAACTATGCTCCACAGGGTTTTCAATGGCTGATTTTTCGGAAGTAGATCGCCAGGCCTTTCTTCCGAGACGTTGAACCTCCAACCTCTCAGTTAGTTAGCAATCAAGCATGTTAACTGTTTGTACCATCCAGGGACTCCTTGTCTGTCTTATCCATCACTATATTCCCAGACCCTGGCACACACTGTACATAGTCATAATAATAATATTAACAGCAATAATGGCAACAATAAAGTAAACACAAATACTCACACAGTGTTTACTCTGCCTGGCACTATTCTAAGCAACCTCTGTAAGGTAACTCATTTAATGCTGACTACAACCCTATGAGGTGGGGCCTATTATCCCATTTTACAGATGAAAGAAGTGAGGCACAGAGAGCTTAAGAAACTTGCCCAAGGTCTTACATGGCTGATAAACTGGAGCCAGGATTAGAACCTAAGTAGTCTGGGTACAAAGTCCTTGCTCCTCAGAGAAGAAGTCCTTGCTACACACATAAGAAATGCAAGAAATATTTGTGGAATAGATGGATGGGTGGATGGGTGGATGAGTGGATGGATGGATGGATGGATGGATGGATGGATGGATGGATGGAAGGATGGACGGACGGACGGACGGACGGACGGATGGATGGATGGATGGATGGAAGGGAACTTAAATGAATTCCCAAAGCCCTTCCTAATACCCAGTACCCAGATAATGTTTGTTGAGTCAGTACAAATTAATGTGTTGCTGCTTCCTGGCTAGCAAGTTACTTTCCTTTTCTATGCACTAGTTAACCCCTGTCCAAAACAGCAGTGTAGAGCAGTGGAGACAGTTCTGTCCCTGAAAGAGGGTCCTCCTTAACCACTTTGAGGTCACTGACTCCTTTGTTGCTGTTCTTAGGTGCCATCAAGTCAGTTCTGACTCACAGCGACCCTATGTACAACGGAATAAAACACTGCCCGGTCCTGCATCATCCGCACAATCATTGTTATACTTGAGCCCATCGTTGCAACCACTGTGTCAATCTATCTCGTTGAGCACCTTCGTCTCTTTCACTGACCCCCTACTTTAGCAAGCATGATTTCCTGCTTGGTACTTTATCAGTGTTTACCAAGCATGATACCCTGACTCTTTCAGGAACTGACAGAAGTGCTGGGCTACCTCCTAAAAAAACGTACTGAAGGAAAATTTTTGAAAATTGCACGTGCATACAAAGTCTTGCATTCAACTGCGGGAGGTACAAGACTCCCTGAAATCCAGACCCCAGATGTAGACACCTATACATGTCTGTGTTTGAATCTCACTCTCCTACTTACTATCTGTGTGATACAAGTGAGCTGTCTATCCTCTCTGAGACTCACTTTCCTCATCTCTGATTCAGAGTTGTAATGCCCACCTCAGTGGGTGGCTAAGAATTAAATAAGACTATGCATGTGACTCCCCTGACATATAGAAGGTCCTCCATCATGGAGAACAGCTCTTGTTACAAGGGGAACACCACCAGTAAGTCTCATGGCAAACCTCATCTATAATGAATCACACCTTCAGAGGAAGCAATACTTGGAAATCTCAACCAAGACGTAAACATCAGCCCAGATCCGTTCCTTAGCTGGAATTTTACCCTCCAAATTGGATTTCTCTCTCATCTTGCAATCTCTTTCTAATCAATAAATGTTAAGAAATTACGCCTGGAGCAGTGGTTAAAGAGCTTGACTGCTAACCAACAGGTCGGCAGTTCGAATCCACTAGCTACTCCTTGGAAACCCTATGGGGCAGTTCTACTCTGTCCTATAGGGTCACTATGAGTCGGAATCATTTCAATGGCAATGAGTCTGTTTTGTTTTGTTTGGGGGCATTCATGCAACTCACTGTGATGGTCAGTGATCATGAGGGCAGAATGCAGGACTAAGTAATGAAGGGAATAATTGTTGCTATTTATTGAGCACCTACTAAGTGACAAGGACCTTACTTAGGTTAGCTTTAATCTCATCATAATTCCTCAAGATAGCTGCTCTCATTCCCATTTCCCAAAGGCGGATTCTGAAGCTCAAAGGATTGACTTGCCCAAGGTCACACAGCTGGGAAGGAGCAGAAGCCGGAAACAAAGCCAGGTCTGACTTACTTTGCCTACTATACCTTGCTTCCAGCTCTCTAGAGTTCTAATATCCAATACCACTCATCCAATCATCCAATAGATACTTATTGAGCATCCCCATGTGCCGGGCACTGTGCCAGGCACTGCATGTACCAGGTGCTCGGAATAAGGTGTTGAACAAGGTAGACGTGGTCCTGCCCTCAGTGCACGTCATCCTTGCCCCAGTTCATCTTTGCAAGCCTCTATCAGGCTTTTCATTGGGAGCCTGAGCAGTAAGCAAGGGAGGCTGACACTCTGTGACTAGAAGAAGGCCTTTGGGGATATACCATATTTTTACGCAAATAATGCACGCATTATATTTTTGCCAATCTTGCAAGCCCCTCCCCCCAGACTATTTTCATACACATGCTATGCCACGCATTATGTGTGTGGGCACGTTATTTGCAAAACTACAGTAAAGCTAAGTCATCATTCACTCCACAGTGAATCTTATGGTTTTGGATTGGATGGTAAAACAGCTTCCCAATCCAGATAGTGTAGCTTGGGATTGCATTCCACCAAACACCTTCATTTGCATCATTCTCCAAGTACGATTACCCTCACAGGTAATTCAAAAACCTCCCCAAACAAAACACTTAGCAGAAAGCAAATCTGTTTTCAGCTAGACTCTTTCTGGGACACATCTGGGACCCATAGGATGCTTAAACATTAAAAAGAAAAGAAAAATTCAGCCACTCTTCCAGATGTCATGCCAACTATTCGGATGTTTGAAAACACCCAGATGAGTGAGTGGTCACATTTTCCACCTTTCAACTGGGCAGTTTTGGGGGGATCTTGGAGACACTGCCACACTCAACTTGTTTCTGTCCTTACTATCACCTCCCTTGGTTCCTCTCTTCCTAGTCTTTCTCCCAACCCTGAGATTCCTAAATCTGAATTTTTCCATGGTTGCTAGAATCATAACCTGTGGGTTTTCCATTTAACCAGGGCGTTCCCCTTTTCAATAATAGAAAGTACAGCTGCAGGATACCCTTGGCAAGAGGAAACGAAAGAAAAAAAGGGCAAACTAACCATTTTGGAGTTTCTGATCCCCTTCCAGATTTGTTACAAGTAAAAAAGGAAAAGAATCATATGAAAAAGGCCAGAGCACATTTTGGAAAATAGGAAAATTACACATTCCAGTCTTTAATACGCCAACAAACTGATGCAGAGTCCTAAGAGAAACTGGATACTGGCTTAGTGATGAAAGTGGATTCTGAGCAGTCTTAAATTCTTCTCGGGCCTCATCACATTGTAAAGACCTTCCAAAGCAAGGATCCAAATTTCAGGTCATTCTTGATACATACTCTGGATGTAATCTCTCTGGGTTGTTTATTTGGCATGCTTTGATTTCTTTCTTTTTATTGGGAGCCCGATAATGTTCAACAGCAGAGACCTCTCTCTACAGCCAAGTTATATTGGACTTCCCCGGTTGGGGAATGGGTTGTAGTCAAACACTAAGTCTTCTAACAAGATGAGTATACAACTCAGTTTCAGAAAGCTGTATATTAAGAGTGGTTCATTATATTCCAACTATCCTGAACCCAACTGAGTCTCTCTGATGGCAGTAAAGCTCTTCCTGATTCTGACCACTGATGACTGCATAAACCTAACACCAGTTACCATCAAGTCAACTCCGATGCATGGTGACCCCATGTGTGTCAGAGAACTTTGCTCCATAGGGTTTTCAATGGCTGATTGTTTAGAAGTAGACTGGCAGGCCTTACTTCCAGGTACCTCTGGGTGGAATTGAACTTCCAACCTTTCAGTTGGCAGCTGAGCATGTCAACTGTCTATACCACCCAGGGACTCCAATCCTCCAGTCACTGCACAGCACTGTGAAATACCCTGGTTCCTTGCATTTTTCTAGATGCTTTTGATTCTGGATAAAGTGGCTTTGACGATGAGTTCAGAGCACAGGTTTCAGAGCACAGCGTTATGGTTCTGACGCTCACTGACCTTGGGTGAATCACTGGACCCTCCAATCTCAGTGTTCTTGACTGTTAAGTGGGGATAATACCAAAATTTCCTGTGAGAATAATGGGATAAGTGCAGTCTAGTTTCTTTGCATCTTCCTTGCACATGAAGTGAGTGTTCAAGTCTTATCTGTCCAAATAAACCAGCTCTACTATCCTTGCCCCCTTTTCCCTCTTGGGTAACTTGACAGATTGCTCTGAGAAGGCCATCCAGTACTTGAAGGTTTTGAGGTGGATTCCAGAACTGGAAAACTCACAGAGCTGCTTTCATATCACTCATCCCATTGAGCAAATGTTTTCACAATTCCAAAATGGGTCACTTCCCTTTCAGGTTGAGTTCAGAGGAAAGATTGTGGTCTTGTCTTCACGGAAACCCTGGGGCCCAAAGTGGTGAACAGCCACTCCCTAGCTGAGTGTCCTCTAGAAAGTTAGAAATGGGACTGGAATTCAGGTCTCCCGACTCTCGAAACAGTGCTCTTCCTGACAGACGCCCACAGCCTT